AAAAAAAGAATATATACAAATCTATGACACTGTGTTGACTGACAACACACATTTTCATTCATGAAGTTGCAGTTATCATTTTTGCAAGGCAGCAATGGGTCAAAGACTATATGTGTCTTAAAATGACAGATATTGTCCAAGTGCCATTCACAATGCAGCAACAATTTATATGCACATGAAGAATGTTCCAACCTGCCTCTTTCCCTAAACCTCTCACTGAGACTGGGCATGAGCAAAATTTACCATTCGCCAACCTGCCAGGTGTCAAACATGATCATTCTGGGATGGTTAACCCTATTTCTTTAACTAGATTGAGCATGTTCTCTTATTTCTTGAATCTCGCTGGTTTGTTTGTTTTTTATAAGCTCCTTGTAAGTTAAATAAAACCTCCCTTTGTCACTTGCAAAAGAAGATGATGCTCCCCTTGTCCCAACGATTTGCAACTCATATCTGTACTGGTTTATACATCTAGAACACAGGTAAGTAACTAGTGAAAACGGGCATCGTATGTCTTATGAGGCTCTGGCGGTTTACTACGAAACACAATGCAAAGCCTACATAATTTGCAATTATAGACAACATTCCGGCCACCTAAAGATTTCTGCTGCGTATTCATCATCTGTCACAATGATCTACTATTTCAGTTACTTCAATGACCTGAGAAAGTGAGTTAAGGCATTTTCTAATACAATCAGTCTTGTGTTTGTAGCTAAATCTGAAATCTGAAATTCACCGCATCATTTTTGAACTAATCTAAAAGCATCGTCAAAGCCCCACAATGGCAGGATATGCAACAGCGAGAATTCAGATATGACACAATACACAACTGGCTTATATCCTCTGCAAGATGTGAAACGCAGAGACATCACTATTTTTCGATAAAGTGAAACTGTGTTTCCTACAACTGAAAACTTGAGAACTCCACATATAGCCTATAGACAAGTTTATATATTCCTTTATTAAGTAAATATTATAAATATCCATTTTTTATTTCCAATCACCACAGCTAATTACACATTGCTGTACAAGCAATAATGCAATGGCTTTTAAAAATTACATGCTATTTTCAAAAGACAAAGTTGCTTTCATTCTTTTAACACAGACCCTGTCTGTGGCTAGTACCTTGAAGCGCAAAAGGTTTTAATTTGGTTAAAATAAGAAAAGCAGGGCGTGGTGGCTCAAGCCTGTATGTAATCCCAGCACTTTGGGAGGCAGAGGCGAGAGGACTGCCTGAGCTCAGGGGTTCGAGACAGCCGACAAAATGGTGAGACCTTGTCTCTACAATAAATCAAAAAATTAGCTGGGCATGGTGGCACACACCTGTGGTTCCAGCTACTTGGAAGGCTGAGGTGGAAAGATGACCTGAGCCTAGCATGTTGAGCCGGTGGTGGCCACTGCACTCCAGCCTAGGCAACAGAGTGAGCCTCCAACTCAAAAAAAAAAAAAAAAAGTTTTTAATTTGGTGAAATTCAGGTTTTCAATTATGCCAATAAAATTGCAATCAAGTCAGGAAGCATTATGTATTCCTTTTAAATAAGCAAAAACACTTGTGCCCTAGAAATGGGACATGGCAAGAAAACAAATATAAAGTATCATGTTCAAGATCATGCTAACATCTGAAAGAACACGCAAAAGTCAAAATCAATTTATCTATATAATAAAATGGAAAAGGAGAAGTACTGGGAGTAGTAATTATGCCCTCATTTTCCACATCATAAGAGAAATAAAACCAAACATTTAATATACACGAAATGCAGTGTGGTAGTGGCAAAACGACAGGCATTACAATCCAACGGAACAGAATTGAGAGTGCTCAAATAAACCTGGCGAATTGACTTTTGAGAAAGGTACCACGGCAATTCAATAGAGAAAGGATGATCACGTCAACAAATGATGCTGAGACATCCACATGAAAAATGATGAATTTACACCCTTTCAACTCACAATGGATCTTATACCTAAACTAAACATAAGGGTAAAAACTATAAAACTTCAAGAAGAAAAGCTAAATGTAAATCTTTGTGACCCCAGGTTGGATGCTTTTCTAGAGCATAAGCAACAAGAGAAAAATTGGAAAAACTGAATTTCACCAAATTGAAAACTTTTGAGCTTCAAGGGACACCACCAAGAAAATAAAGCAACTAGCCACAGACCAGAAAAAATATTTTCAAAACCTTACTTCTGATAAAAGACTTGTATCAGAATATACAAAAAAACTCTTTTTTTTTTTCTGAGTTGGAGTCTCACTGTCGCCCAGACTGGAGTGCAGCGGTTGCTCCCGGCCACCGCAGCCTCGACCTGCTGGGCTCCGGCGATCCTTCCGCCTCAGCCTTCCGAGTAGCTGGAATTACAGGGATGCGCTACCACGCCCAGCTGATTTTTTGATTGATTGTAGAGATGAGGTCTCGCTGCCCAGGCGGGACTCGAACCTGCGGGCTCAGGCAATCCACTCACCTCAGCCTCCCAAAGGCGCGGGATGACAGGCTGAGCCACCGAGCCCGGCTAAAAAAACTCTTAACAACTTTATTTTTTTTTCTTTTATCGTCATTAAAAAAAAAAAAACAAACCCAAATTACAAATGGGCAAAACATCTGAACAGACATATCACCAAAGAGCACATATATGAGCAAATGTAAAGATGCTCAACATCATTAACTATTCAAGAAATGCAAATTAAAACCACAGGGAGCCTGGCACAGTGGCTCCAGCTACTCCAGAGGCTGAGGAGGGAGGATCCCTTGAGCCCAGGAAGTTTGAGGCTGCAGTGAGCTATGATCACACCACTGCACTATAGCCTGGGTGACAAAACAAAAGTGCTTCTCTAAATAAATTTTAAAATTCACAACACATTATCCAAAATATATCATATTCTGGAAAAGGCAAAACTATAGAGACAGTACAAAGATAGTCACAAATTCAGAGAAGGGAGGAATGAATAGCAGAGCACCGAGGATTTTTAGGACAGTGAGATTACTGTGTGATAGTCTAATAATGCACATGTTTCCATAAAATTATATATTTGTCGTTGAGGCTCAGTGGCTCAGCCTGTAATCCCAGCACTTTGGGAGGTCAAGGCGAGTGGACTGCCTGAGCCCAGGTTCGAGACCAGCCCAGGCAACTTGGTGAGACCTCATCTCTACAATAAACTAAAAACTAGCCAGGTGTGGTAGCGTGCGCCTGTAATTCCGGTTACTTGGAAGGCTGAGGTGGAAGGATCACCGGGGGCCCAGCAGGTCAACAACGCTGGGTGGCCGTGAGTATGCCATTGCACTCCAGCCTAGATGATAGAGTGAGACTCCAATTCAAAAGAAAAAAAAATTATACATTTGTCAAAATGCACAGCAAGAACAACACCAAGAGTAAACCCTGATGTAAACTATGAGCTGTGGGACATGATGATGTGTCCCTGATTATAAGAAACGTACCTCTCTGACAAGCGATATTGACATAGGAAGGAGACTACACATGTGTGAGAACAGGGCCTATATGGCAACTCTGTCCTTTTTGCTCACTTTTGAAAAAAATGGAAAAAAGAAAATGACGATGAGATACCACTTCACACCCACTAAGCCTGCTATAATAAAAAAGAGGCAGCAAAAGCATTGAACAAGAGAAGGGGAAACCAAGGCATGTCTACTCTGCTGTAAAATGGTGTGGCCATGCTGGAAGACAGTTCGGCGGTTACAAAAAAATAAAACACCAAGTTACCATACAACCCATAAATTCACACCTATCTACCCAGGGGAAATAAAAACATGTTTCTACACAAAGACACATAGGTCATGTATCATAGTAGCGTTGTTTAAAACAATCAAACAGTAAACAACACAAATGCCTATCAAATGCTAAACGGAAAAAGAAAAGACAGTATCATCCATACAATGGAATAATGTTCAAGAATAAAACTACTTATAGATGCCACATCGTTTTTTATCATGAACCTCAAGATATGATCAAAATGAAGGAAGTAAAATGCAAAATGTCACATACTGAATGATTCTACTTATATGAAATGTCCAGCTAAGATATATGTATAAAAACTACAAACAGATTAGTAAAAGGAATAGAGAAAGACAGCAAATGGACACCAGGTTTTCATTCAGGATGATGAAAATGTTCTAAAATTAGATTGTGGTGATCACTGTAAAACTCTATAAAACTACTAAACATAATCACACCTTAAATTTAAAATGGGTGAGTTTTGTGGTATACAAATTATGTTGTAATAAGGTTATCAAAAAAAAACCAAACAGCATAAAAAGGATATTTAAAAACAAGAGGCCAGATGCAGTGGCTGAAGCCTGTAATCTCAGCACTTTGGGAGGTTGAGGCAAGAGAATTGCCTGACCTCAGGGGTTCGAGACCAGCCTGGGCAACTTGGTGAGACCTCATCTCTACAATAAATCAAAAAGTTAGCTGGGCGTGGTGGCATGCACCAGTAATTCCAGCTACTTGGAAGTCTGAGGTAGAAGGATTGCCTGAGCCCAGCAGGTTGAGGCTGCAGTGGACATGAACGTGCCACTGCACTCCAGCCTGGGCGACAGAGTGAGACGTCAACTCAAAAATATATAAATAAAATAAAAACAAGAAATTTAACACAAATTTTGAGAGTTTAAAATGACTTATTTCCATGGAGAGTAGAAAATGAGAGAGCAAAGCCAATGGGGAGGTTAAGAGAACATTAGACTGATTTTTGTAAAAAGCACTATAGATCTAGCTAACCTTTTACACTACATGCTTGTATAACTGGAAAAAAACCCAACAAATTTTATCGGCAAACATGGATAATTAACAAAGAACTCTGGCTACTACTCAATAAGCAAATTCTCTTTTTGGGTTTTAGTATAATGTGGTAACATTAACAAATATTGGCACAGTTAGAATAAATTTATAGTGATTACCTGTTTCTCATCAAAACAACTGAGTCCATATACAACCTTCTAAACCAAGAAAAAGTCTTCCTTAGTTTCGCAATTGATTCTAAAAGCACTAGTACGTACCAGAATCTTCGGTGGGCTCAGTTTTCACTTTGACGGGGCCACAACTGAAAGAAGAAAACCCTGGTCAAGCAATGCAGTGGCAAGAACTCCTCACATGGTATTCAAATCACTCGCCTGACACAGTGAGTGCAAAACTGATTTAACTTAAAATTTACATCTTTATTTCTTCTTATTCATTTCTACAAGTAATGAGAGTTGCCACTCAGTTTAAGACTTTAATACCAATCTACCTTTTAGGAAAAATAAGTACAAGAAATGTTATAAAGTAGCATATCAACATCCAAACTCCACTTAAGGCTTTCCAATTCAGTGTGGTCAGTTACATCCGCTTCACCTGGAAAACACTACTACTCAGAACTATTAAGTCGAAAGGATATTTTCACAAGATCCCCAAACGATTTACTTGCCTATTAAACTTTGAGATGTAGGACATAGAGCCCTTTTAATATACTAATATCTCCGCAATTTGAAAAAGAAAACTGTGAGATGTGGAAGTTTATAACAGTAGTAATGAAAGTAGGTTTTACCTTCCACCTGGAGACAGTATTGACCTGTCAGCATCGGTTACCATCACGCGACCACCTGTGCACACAAATAAATTAGATTTAGGCTTTTTCAACACTTTGAATAATTATAACTAATATTTTCAAAAGCTTTAAATACAGAATAACTGGGGGTAAAGTTGGATCTCATATTTCTGGGTCATATTATTATAAGCATTGTATGAGTTATAAAACAGTGTACTTTGTTCTCTCCTAAAAGGAAGATAAATAGGAATGAAAAGCATCGAACAAGTTTTCATCCTCTCACCCACCGGGATCCTCCTTCAGATGATTAAAAGCTCTTACTTTTGTCAATGACAGAAATACAGAAATGTACCATTTCTCTAGTAAGGTAGAAGAAGCAGAATAAGACTCTGCTGATGTATAAATGGCAATCCAAATTGCTACTAAAAAGACAAATGGCTCAGAGACCTGGAAAGGAGTGACTGCTAACAGGTAATGGGATTTTCTTTATAGAACAACAGAAACGTTCAGGAATTGGAACACATGGCGGTAGATGCACAACTATCTAAAAACTACTAAAATTCACTGAATTGTACACTTTAAAAGGGTGACTCTTTTGTCATATGAATTAAATATCAATTTAAATATTGCAAAAGCCAGAAAGAGACAGACTCTACCAAACGTTGAAGATGTGGAGCAATTAGAAGTTTCATACGAGGGGGGACAAAGAAACCCTGGAATTTATTTGTAAAAAATTGTGTATTTATTCTTACATGTTTAAACTAGAGTCACCTTCAAAGTACTCTCCTTTTGATGCAATACACCCATCGAGATACTTTTTCTTTTTTCTTTCCTTTTCATTTTTTTTGAGTTGGAGTCTCACTCGGTCACCCAGACCTGAGTGCACCACCGCAGCCTTGACCTGCTGGGCTCCGGCCATCCTTCCGCCTCAGCCTTCCAAGTAGATGGAACTACAGGCGCGCACTACCACACCCGGCTGATTATTGATTTCTTGTAGAGGCAGGTCTCACCAAGTTGCCCAGGCAGGTCTTCAACCTAATCCCCTGGCCTCGGCTTCCCCAAGTGCTAGGATTACAGGCTGAGTCACCAAGCCTGGCCAATAGATTTCAAAATAAGGAGCCAGATTAAAACACACACACAGCCGGGCTCGGTGGCTCAGGCTGTAATCTCAGCACCTTGGGAGGCCGAGGTGAGTAGATTGCCTGAGCCTGTGGGTTCGACACCCACCTGGGCAACTTGACGAGACCGCATCTCTACAACAAATCAAAAATTAGCCGGGTGTGGTAGCGCGTGCCTGTAGTTCCAGCTACTTGGAAGGCTGAGGTGGAAGGATCGCCGGAGCCCAGCAGGTCGAGGCTGCGGTAGCCGGGAGCGGCCACTGCACTCCAGTCTAGGCAACAGAGTGAGACGCCAACTCAAAACACACACACACACACACACACACACCCACCCCCATGATTCCATTTATATAAAAATTTAGAAATTGTAAACAAATCCATAGTGACAGCAAGAACATCAGTGGTTGCCTATGAATGGGGCAGGCAGGAGCAGAAAGAAGGAACTACCAACAGGCATGAGGAAACTTGGTGAAAGAGATGAGATGTTTGTTATCATGACTGTGGTGATGGTTTCACAGAATATATACAAGGGTGAAACTGATCAAACTGTGCACTTTAAATATCTGTTGTTGGCCAGGCTCAGTGGCTCAGCCTGTAATCCCAGCACTTTGGGAGGCTGAGGCAAGTGGAATGCCTGAGCCCGCAGGTTCGAAACCAGCCCCAGAAACTTGGCGAGACTTCCTCTCTACAATAAATAAATAAATAATTAGCCAGGCATGGTAGCGCATGCCTATAATTCCAGCTCCTTGGAAGGCTGAGGCGGAAAGATCACCGGAGCCCAGCAGGTCTGCACTCAGCCTTTTGTTAAATTTAAACATGTCAAATAAATCTCTTTCTCAATCTTAAAAAGGACATATAGAAAAATCCTAGCCAGGAACGGTAGCTCACACCTATAATCCCAGCACTTTGGGAGGCAGAGACAAGAGGACTGCCTGAGCCCAAGGGTCGGAGACCAGACTGGGCAACTTGGTGAGACCTCATCTCTACAACAAATGAAAAAAGTAGCCAGACAGCATGATGGTGTATGCCTGTGGTTCCAGCTACTTGGAAGGCTGAGGTGGAAGGATCACCTGAGCTCAGCAAGTCAGAGCTGCGATGGCCGTGAGCATATACCAATGCACTCCAGCCTAGGCAACAGAGTAAGACTCCTACTCTAAAAAAAGAAAAGAAAAATCCTACCACTGACATCAAACTTAATTGTGAAAGGCTAAATGTTTTCCTCCTATATCACAAGGTAATATCTGGTGTTGTCAATACTTACTTTGGTATTGATATTCTAGCAACAAGAAATAAAAAGTATTCAGATTGCAAAGAGGTAACTCATCATGATTCTCACACAGCATGACCCAGTATGTAAAAAGTCTAAAAATAAGCATAGTCATGGGCAATTGACTTTCAACAAAGATGACAAGGCAATCCAGGCAGAAAGGATAGTCCTTTCAACAAATTATGCTGGAGTAATCAAATATCCACATGCAAATGGATGGGCTTTTATCCTTACCTTGTATCATATATAAAAATCAATTCAAAATGAATCATAGATCTAAATGTAGAGCTAAAGCAAATCTCCGTGCCCCTGGGTTAGGCAATAGCTTCTTAAATATGAAGTCAAAAGCACAAGTGACAAAAGAATACATTTGAACTCTGTCAAAATTAAAAATGTCTGTGCCTCACGGGACACTATGAAGTAAGTGAAAAGACAATTCATAGAAGCAGAGAGAATATTTGCAAATCATCTATTAAGGACGTGTACCAAGATTATATTTAAAAACTCTTAGCCAGGCTCGGTGGCTCAGCCTGTAATCCCGCGCCTTAGGAGGCTGAAGTGAGTAAATTGCCAGAGCCCACGGGTTCGAGACCCGCCTGGGCAACTTGGCGAGACCTCATCTCTACAGTAAATCAAAAATTAGCCAAGCGTGGTAGTGCACGCCTGTAGTTCCGGCTACTTGGAAGGCTGAGGCGGAAGGATCACCGGAGCCCAGCAGGTCGAGGCTGCGGTGGCCAGGAGTGGCCACTGCACTCCAGCCTGGGCGACAGAGTGAGACTCCAACTCAAAAAATAAAATAAAATAAAATAAATAAAAGCTCTTATGACTCAAGAATAAAAAGACAAACCCAATTTTAAAAAGGGAAAAGGACTTAAATAGACACTTCTGCAAAAAATATGCCAGGGCACTAAAAAAAAAGTATACACATTTTAAGATATTATCTATGTATTAATATTCACACTTGAATTGAATTATGGTAGTATTGTATAGCATGACGTCTGCTCAAAAGATGGCATTACTCAAATTAATCACCACGCTACAGGTAGGACAGTCAAAGAAAATGATTAAAGCACGGTTGTCGTCCGAGGAACGTAAGACCATTTTGAAGTGGTATTTGAAATTCGAGAACCCTGTGGAAGTATAACAACAATGGTGGCATGAGGACGCAACAGAACCTCCAACACGCCTAACGACTGCATGCATGCGTGGTAAGTTCGAGACGCATGGTACTGTGTGTGATGTGCACCGGGAAGATCCCAGAGGCCTCGCACAGCACCAAGTCCAGCAGCAGTAGTTCACCAAAATCAGAAGTGTCTGGACGCTGATGGTAACCACTTTGAACACCTCTTGTAATCGCAGAAGGCAAATGAGACTTGTATTCACCTTTTGCTATCTGTATATATTATTACAATTTTAAGACAGTTTTTTTCCTTTCTTAAAATGTATATACATTTTTTTGGCAACCTCTGTATAGGAATAGCCAATTAGCACATGAAAAAATATTCAACATCAACAGTGACAAGGGAAATAAAAATCAAACCCAGATTGGGCTCGGAGGCTCAGCCTGTAATCCCAGCACTTTGAGAGCCCTCGGGTTTGAGACCAGTCGGGGGAACTTGCGGAGATGTCGACTCTAAAATAAATCAAAAGTTAGCCAGGCATGGTAGTGCATGCCTGTAGTTCCAGCTACTTAAAAGGCTGAGGCAGAAGGATTGCTGGAGCCCAGCAGATTGAGGCCATAGTGGCCATGAGTGTGCCACTGCACTCCAGCCTGGGTGACAGAGCGAGACTCTAACTCAAAAAAAAAAAAAAAAAATCAAAACCAAAATGAGATTCCACTTCACACCACATGGCTAAAATAAAAAAGACAGTAACAAGTTGCCAGTGATATGGAGAAACTAGAACTCTCGGACACTGCTGGAAGGAATATAAAGTGGTATGGGCCACTTTAAAAAACACTTAGGGAGTTTCTAAAAAGTTAAGTGCTTTGGGAGGCTAAGGCAAGAGGACTGCCTGAACCCAGGGGTTCGAGTTCAAGACTAACTTGGGCAACTTGGTAAAATTCATCGGTTCACTACAGTGAGAAGAAACGGTTAACAGAAAACAAAATGTGCGTGCATGTATATATTATTTTTCCTTTCATCCCTGCCTTTCTGCATATCTTAGCGGTTCACCCCAAAATGCTTTCCATCATATTCTTAAAGAAAATAAAAGAGACTATTAAAATGTATTAAATCTGGCTAAACAAGTTTAGGAACCTGGCCACTTATCATGTAAGTAAAGCAAGCACTTACCTAGATGCTTCTTTGGCTCTAGGAAAGGTCTGCATTAAAACAAAACCAAAAACTACATATGAATACATAAAATTACTTTGCAAAGCATAAATTTAAATTACTTCTGTGTTAAACAGGAATTTTTAAAATATATTAAAATAAGCCAAATATGCACATTTATATGAATAAATTTATATGACAGGCATGAAAGAAGAAAGCACGTCACCTCTTAATGATAAATGAAATCCCTGCTTTGTTCTCCAAAATCCATTTCAGGGTTGCAAGATCATAGTTTTCAGGGTGCTTAAAGGTAACCCCTTCTGGAAGCCCCTGCACTACCACAGCCGACTGGTCTCGTAGCATCTTCTCATATGGTACAGGAACCACTGTGGATTTGCCTAAAGCTTTCCCTGGGAGAGGTGGAAAGAATATAAACATCATTCAATGTCAAGACATCATTAAATGTTAAGACTAAATCAGACTGGATGTGGTGGCTCACACCTATAATCCCAGCACTTTGGAAGGTCAAGGCAGGAAGACTGCCGGAGCCCAGGAGTTCAAGACCAGCCTGGGCAACATAGCAAGAGCTAGCCTCTGCAAAATAATCCAAAAACTAACCAGGCACAGTGATATGTGCTAATAGTCCCAGCTACTTGGGGGGCTGAGGCAGGATTGCCTGAAATCAGGAGGTTGAGGCTATGATGATCCCCGATCATGCCACTACACTCCAGCCTGGGTGACAGAGACTCCTACTCAAAAAATAAATAATAGCCAGGCTCGGTGGCTCAGCCTGTAATCCCGCGCCTTTGGGAGGCTGAGGTGAGTGGACTGCCTGAACTCGCGGGTTCGAGACCCGCCTGGGCAGACGAGACCTCATCTCTACAATCAATCAATCAATCAATAAAAAAGCATTACCTCATCATGGTTTAGTAAATGGCATTCATGCTCTTTGTAATATCTGATTTCTAAACTACTCTGAAATACTATTGGGTCCCATCCCCATGTCAGCAAAAGTTCTAAACATGAAACTGATCCAAAGAACCAAAATGAAAAGTATATAAAATATTTTACTTTAAAACCTACACAAAGCCAGGCGTGGTAGCTCAAGCCTATAATCCCAGCACTTTGGGTGGCTGAGGTGAGAGGACTGCCTGAGTCCGCGAGACCAGCCTTGGCAACTTGGTGAGACCTCATCTCTACAATAAATCACACACAAAAAAAACTAGCCAGGCAAGGTGGCATGCGTCTGTAGTTCCAGCTACTTGGAAGGCTGAGGCGGAAGGATCACCTGAGCCCAGCAGGTTGAGGCTGCAGTGGCCAGGGGTGTGCTACTGCCCTCCAGCCTGAGTGACAGAATGAGACTCCAACTCAAAAAACAAAAAAACCTACACAAAACGAGAGGAATAATGGCTAATTTCTTGGAGTATTCTGTCTTTAAGATGCTCCCATTCTGGTATAATCTCATATAAAATTTGGCCTCAGAATATAGAAGTCTGACAAATCCAACTAGTACCATAAAAATACCAGGAAAATTTAGGCTAAGAGTCTCATTAAAAATTTCATAAGTAAACACAATCTTCATTCACAAATAGGTGTATTTTGTCAGTCTGCCTGTGTATCAGGCTGCAAGCTCCACAGATGCTAGAAAACACACTTCATAGTGTTAAAGCCTACCTATAACCCCACAGTAAAACCTAAATCCTCCTCTGTTTGCTATTTTCTTATAAGAGCTTTATCATGTGATTGAATTAACTAAAGGTGGCCTTGCAGAAAACTGAAGGGATCAGAGCCCATGTCAGAAAAGAACAGCTCTAACAACTACAGTTGTTACTGGCTTCCTCCAAAATGGAAGTGAAAAGGCAGACCTAAGTTATTCAGTTTGTGAAAACGTGTGTTATGTGACCACTAAATCAATTACATACGGGTTAGAAAACCCAATTATGTTATACATTTTTTAGAAAATTAAAGTGTATTGCTTTTACCATAGCAAAAGCAGAAATAGTCCTCAACTGTTTTTCTGAGTGTTTCAATTTCTACAGCATCTACACTCATTCGATTCCCCTGAGTTGTAGATTTCATTTTATGCATCTCTGCAGCCTTTTCTTCTTCTTCAACACCTGTAAAATAATTAATAATATAAGAGGTTCATATCCAATCTCTTAGGAGTAATTTAAATAAGAGTAGATGATCATCACACAAAAAAATTTCTAGGCTCACTAAGGCCAACACAATAATCACCAGACGCATATTACACTTGAAATGTAGCCAGTCCAAATTCAGATATTCTGTAAATGCACAATACACACTGAATTTTGAAGGCTAAGTACAAAAAGAAGCATGCCTAACATCCCATTAATAACTTTTATACTGTAGCCAGGCATGGTGGTTCATATCTGTAATCTCAGCACCTTGGAGGCTGAAGTGGGGAGTCCTAGAGCCCAGGAGTTCAACACCAACCTAGGCAACAAACACAGCAAGACCTTATTTCTACCAAAAAAACCCCAAAAAATTAGCCAGGTGTGGCAACGCCTGGTGTGGTCCCAAGTACTCAGGAGGCTGGCGCAGGAGGACCACCGAGCCCAGGAGGTTGAGGCTGCAGCAAGCCGTGATCATGCCGCTGCGCTCCAGCCTGGGAAACAGAGTAAGACTCTGACTCAAAGATACTACTAATAATTTTTATATGATTAAATGCTAAAATATTTTACATACATTGAGTTACAGTATTATCACTAAAATGAATTTTACTTGTTTCTCTTTAATGTCATAACTAAAAAATTTTAAATTATATGAGTGACTCACATTATATTTATTTATATAACAGCACTTTCCTAAACCCCAGAAAAGGACTTAGAATTCTCCCAAAGAGGTCAGGCTCAGTGGCTCAACCTGTAATCCCAGCACTTTGGGAGGCTGAGGTGAGTGGATTGCCTGAGCCCGTGGGTTCGAGACCAGCCCAGGCAACTTGGTGAGACCTCATCTCGACAATCAAAAATCAAAAATTAGCCAGGCATGGTAGCGCATGCCTGTAATTCCGGCTACTTGGAAAGGATGAGGTGGAAGGATCGCTGGAGCCCAGCAGGTCGATGGCTGTGAGTGTGCCACTGCACTCCAGCCTGGGTGATGGAGTGAGACTCCAACTCAAAAAAATAAGAATTCTCCCAAATAACACCTAAAACTGCCTGATAAACCTACTGACTGGGTTTCAAAAGACCACCATTGCTCCTTAATACAAAATCATAAGTACAAACGACAGGTACTTCAGAATTAGACACAGACCACGGCATCGAATTATGAGTAATTAACACAAAATATAAACACCAATAGGCAGGAACTACAACTTGTAACCAAGGACAATTCCCCTCATGCTTAGCCCTAACCACTGAAGAACCACATAAGCAAGGCAATATAGGAAAGAGAAGTATAAACACAGCTGCCAGTGAGATTCTAGTATTCATGGCGTAGACAGCAGCTGATAGACACACAATCAAAACATTATTAGCATAAAAAATGCAAACATAATCAAGGTCTTAAAATTTCTCAAAATGATAAGAAACACTGGCAAATTTTTTAAAATGGATTACTACCAAAGCTTAAAAGATTATAGCAGGGGTGGGGTAGAAACAAATATGGTGGCAGGGGACAGAAATATTTTTTTAAAGGAACTAAAACAACCTTGGGAATTAAAATTCATGAATTGACCAAATTTTTTATTCACTAGTAATCCAATCAATCATCATGAATTGAATTTAACTTGACAACAGAAACTCAAATTTAGATCTTAGAGACATACTGGCAGATGCAGAAGCTATTGCAGGTTGAGTTCCAGCCCACTGCTGTAAGTATCTCAATAAAGACACACACATATTTTGGTTTTCCAGTGCACATGAAAGTTATATTGAGGCAGGCACGGTGGTTCACACCTGTAATCCCAGCACTTTGGGAGGTGGAGGTGAGAGGATTGCCTGAGCCCAGGAGTTCAAAGCCAGCCTGGGCAACTTTGTGAGACCTTGTCTCTACAACAAATCAAAAATTAGCCGGTGTGGTGGCACATGCTATGGTTCCAGCTACTTGGGAGGGCTGAGTTATAAAGACTGACTGAGCCCAGCAGGTCAAAGCTGCAGTGGTCTTCAGTGTGCCACTGCACTCCAGCCTGGGCAACAGATTGAGACTCCAACTCAAAAAGAAAAAAGAAAAAAGTTATATTGATTCTTCCTTTCAGCCGGGCTTGGTGGCTCAGCCTGTAATCCCGCACCTTGGGAGGCTGAGGTGAGTAGATTGTCTGAGCCCGCGGGTTCAAGACCCGCCTGGACAACTTGGTGAGACCTCATCTCTACGATAAGTCAAAAAATCAGCCGGGCATGGTAGCGCGCGCCTGTAATTCCGGCTACTCGGAAGGCTGAGGCGAAAGGATCACCGGAGCCCAGCAGGTCAAGGCTGTGGTGGCTGGGAGCGGCCACTGCACTCCAGTCTGGGCGACAGAGTGAGACGCCGACTCAAAAAAAAAAAAAAGAAGAAAAGAAAAAAGGTATAACTCAAAAAAAAAAAAAGAAGAAAAAAGGTATATTGATTCTTTCTTTCACAACACATTTCTCTGTAGTGTACAATGCTGTTTAATAGCGTTTTACCCACAGCAGAACTTCTTTCAAAACAGGAGTCAATCCTCTCACACCCAGTCACTGCTTTATCAACCAAGTTTATGTAATATGCTAAATCCTTGTTGTCATGTCGACAACGTTCATAGCATCTTCACCAGAAGTAGATTTCACCTCAAGAAACCACTTTCTCTGCTCATCCAGAACAAGCAACTCATTATCCATTAAAGCTTGATCATGAGATTGCAGCGTTCCAGTCACATCTTCAAACTCTACTTCAAATTCTAATTCTCTTGTGGTTTCTACCACATCATCAGTGACTTCCTTTACTGAAGTCTTGAGCCCCTGAAAGTCATCCACGAGGCTGGAATCAACTTCTTCCAAACTCCTGTCCATGTTAATATACTGACAATGTCCCATGAATCACATATCTTCTTAATGGCATCTAGAATGCCAAGTCCTTTCCAGAAGGTTTTCAATTTACTTTGCCCAGATCCATCAGAGGAATCGCCATCTGTGGCAGTTATAGCCTTACAAAATGTATTTCTTAATACAACTTGAAAGTTGAAATTACTCCTTGATCCATAGCAGAATAGATGCTGAATTAGTAGGCATGAAAACAGCATTCATCTCCTTCAGAGCTCTTCGATGATTAGGTACATTGGCAACAAACAGTTATATTTGGAATGTTTTTACTGAGAAGCAGGTCTCAGCAGTGGGCTTAAAATATTCGGTTAGCCATGCTATAAACAGATATACTATCACCCAAGCTTTACTGTTCCGTTTATACAGAGAAGACTTAGCATAATTCATCAGGGCCATAGGATTTTCAGAATGCTAAGTGTACTGGTGTCAACTTAAAGCTATCAGAGCCTTAGTTTCTAACAAGAGAGTCAGCCTGTCCTTTGAGGCTTTGAAACCAGGCATGGACTTCTTTCTAGTTAGCAAAGCCTTCTTCCAAAAGAAGACTGTTTCACCTACACTGAAAATCTGTTGTTTAATGTAGTCAGCTTCATCAATCATCTCAGTTAAATCTTCTGGATAACTTGCTACAGCTTCTCCATCAGCACTTGCGTCACCTTGACTTTCAGGTTATGAAGATGGCCTCTTTCCTCAAACCCCATAAAACAACCTCTGCTAACTTCCAACGTTTCTTCTGCAGTTTTCTCACCTCTTTCAGCCTTCACAAAATTGAAAAGTTATTAAGGCCCTGTTCTGGATTAGGCTTTGGCTTAAGGGAATGATGTAGCTGCTTACATCTCATACTACTAAAACTTTCTCCCCAGCAGCAATGAGGCTGTTTTGCTTTCTTATCATTTGGGTGTTCTCTAAAGTACCACCTTCTCTCTCATGTGTTCCACTGATCCAGCATAACTCCAAGCAAGAAACACAGTACAATATATATTTGCCATTTTTCTTAAATTCTTCAGTATTTATCCTTAAATATTGCCATTTTGGAGATTCATTTTAAGCATTTTGAAATGTCTCCATAAAAATTTCACAACATCTTTTTTAGTATAAACCTCCTTCTGCTTTACAGGAAACTATTACTTGCCTTACCTATAAATAGTTAGGCTTAAAATTTATGAAATACAAAAGATAAAAATACAATGCTTACAGTATTTTACAAAATCTTTTTGAAAATCCTTTCTGGTATTGACAAAAGCACGTCCTCTTTCGGTTCCAACAACAAACACATCCGTTTCGTACACTGCAATGCAGGCCACTTCTGCCTTGGACTTGGCCAGTTCTTTACACTATAATACAAACAGCAAACATTCTGTTATGCATAGATGGTTAAAAGCACCATTACTGCTGGATGAATTTTCAAAATGTAACACCATTTTTTAAAAGTCATCCCACTTTTTAAGTTGTTTTTCCCCTAGTTTTCAACAAAAGACAATACAGAATTTACAAGGAAAAAAGCAGAAATCCCTTAGAGGTCAGATTCCTCAAGAAATTGACTCAGACTTCATGCAGGCTTGCTGGGACGTGCTCTCAGTAACAACACCTGTGAGGCCTGAAGACGGCAAGGCTGGGTAGAAGAAGAGTCAAAGACTGGACGAAGCTGCACCAGAGCAGCCTGGACACCCTAAACGTAGGTGGTCCTCCCTAGGCAAAGGGTGAGTGAGACCTTGGGCAAGTAACACTCACAGCAGCTGGGAGAAGCAGTGCCATCAGTCCTGAAAGGGGGTGGTCTGAAACTCACCTCCAACTTACTACATATTCCACCTCCAGAAGTATTTCTCTATGAATACACAACTAGAATCAGACTTAGAGCTGAGTACACACTTACTGACTTTTACTAAGCTTATTTCTATGAGATTAAATGTTCTTTAGAGCCAGACTTGGTGGCTCAGACTGTAATCCCGCGCCTTTGGGAGGCTGAGGTGAGTGGATTGCCTGAGCCCGTGGGTTCGAGACCCGCCTGGGTAACTTGGTGAGACCTCATCTCTACAATAAATCAAAAATTAGCCAGGCGTGGTAGCGAGTGCCTGTAGTTCCAGCTACTTGGAAGGCTGAGGCAGAAGGATCGCCAGAGCCCAGCAGGTCAAGGTCGTGGTGGCTGGGAGCGGCCACTGCACTCCAGTCTGGGCGACAGAGTGAGACTCCAACTCAAAAAAAAAAAAAAAATTGAGCCGGGCTTGGTGGCTCAGCCTGTAATCCCACGCCTTTGGGAGACTGAGATGAGTGGAAAAAAATAAAATAAAATAAAATTTAAAAATGTTCTTTAGGCTAGGCACAGTGGCTCATGCCTGTACTCCCAGGACTTTGGGAGGTGGAGGTGAAAGGATTAATTGCCTGAGCCCATAGGTTCGAAACCAACCTGAGCAACATGGTGAGACCTTGTCTCCACCATAAACAAAAAAACTAGCCAGGCGTGAAGAATCACTGGAGCCCAGCAGGTTGAGGCTACAGTGGCCGTGAGCGTGCCACTGCCCTCCAGCCTGGGCGACAGAGTGAGACTCCAACTTCAAATAAATAGATAAATAAATAAATAGTCTTTAAAAACTTTAAGGTATATAACATTCCACCTTATAAATATACCACATTTCATTTAGTGTTGACAATATTGAAAAGGTTGGTGATTCTAATTTTCCATCCTAAAAATAACACTGCAATAAATAATTTGGGAACAGAATATTTATGTGCCTCTTGAATGACCTTCTCAAAAGAGCCAGAGAGATGAAAGAGAGTCAAAAAAAAAAAAGAAAGAAAAAAGAAAGCCAGGCGCAGTAGCTCAAGCCTATAATCCCAGCACTTTGGGAAGCAGAGACGAGAGGATTGCCGCAGGATCAAGACCAGCTTGGGCAACATGGCGAGAGACGTCATCTCTACAAAAAATCAAAAATTTGGCCGAGCATGGTGGTGTGTGTCTATAATTCCAGCTACTTGAAAGGTTGAGGTGGAAGGATAGCCTGAGCCCAGCTGGTTAAGGCCATAGTGGCAATGAGCATGCCACTGCATTCCAGCCCGGGTGACAGAGTGAGACTTCAACTAAAAAAAAAAGAAGAAGAATAGACATAAAATAGTCAATATGACCTCAACACCTACAATTCTGGTAATCTTCTTTACATAGATACACTAAAATACTGGCACCATACTCTAATATACAAACTCATCCTGAGTAACTTCAAATATTATAAATTCAAAATTAACACCTGCAACACAAGTGATTGCCTAAGATAGGGGTAGAAAAAAAAGTTAGAATTAACCGTAAAAAATTAATATTAAGGTACATTAAGAACATTCTAAAGCATTCTCATAAAACATGACATGAAAGGCTTAAATCCAGGCCGGGCTCGGTGGCTCAGCCTGTCATCCCAGCACTTTAGGAGGCTGATGCGAGTGGACTGCCTGAGCCCGCAGGTTCGAGACCAGCTCAGACAACTTGGCAAAACCGCGTCTCTACAATAAATCAAAAATTAGCTGCGCATGGTAGCGTGTGCCTGTAGTTCCAGTTATTTGGAAGACTGAAGTGGAAGGATCGCCAGAATCCAGCAGGTCGACGCTGGGGTGGCTGTGAGTGTGACACTGCACTCCAGCTTGGGCAACGGAGTGAGACTCCAACTCAAAAAAAAAAAAAAAAAAAAAAGGAAAAGAAAGAAAGAAAGGCTTAAATCCGTAACTACTTTTAAGCAAAAAAATTATATGTTCTAGCAGGGCTCGGTGGCTCAGCCTGTAATCCCATACCTTTGGGAGGCTGAGGTGAGTGGATTGCCTGAGCC